AAGAGAGTATAGAGTGAAGAGAGAGAGAGAGAGAGAGAGAGAGAGAGAGAGATGAGTCGTAAAGTTTATAGGAAAAGAGCATATATTTTATGATTTCCTTTTCATTTCAATTCCTCTTCTCTGCCAACACTTGAATCCCATTAAACGACTAATTCATGAATACTTACAATAAATCACTATTTATTTTAATCTCAAATTATTCAACGAATAAAGAATTCAATTTAATATTTAATAGAAACGGCAAAAGTGTTGAGACATATGAAGTGAAAACTCATTCTTGCTTTTCGTATGACATATAATCCCAATGTTTAGCGCATTAATGAATGAAAACTTTCAAATCATTAGTGTTTGCTCGCAATAAATAGACGACAATCTCATTAAGCCTTAATTGTTGTGATTTACACCCCTTTTCTGGCGTCCATTTCTCGTTTGGCTAATAAGTTTTGTGTTGAAAACATAATAATAATCAATATTTAATATTAAAAGTGATAAATATTACTGTCAGTAGTGGTAGTAGTGGTGATCGTCGACAAAACGAGGCGAATATTTTTAATTAGCGTATTGTCTGTTGTTATCATTAGCCGATTCTTGTGGCCAGTAATGCATTTCCTTCTCATACGTGATGTCATGTCATAGACTGCTATCTCTATGAATAGGATTTAGTGAAGTGTCTAAACTCTCACGTCTATCACTGCTTTCATTGCTTTTCATACCATAAGACTCCTTAACAAAGGACATCATGTCCTGACTCTATAAACACATGGATTAGCTCTTCAAAGGGAATCAAGAATTTTGAATCAATAATATATTTTCCTTGAGATATCTCTTTGTTCTCTTAAGACTTAAGTCTCTCTCATATTTCTCTCAATAAATAAGGGGTCATTGAAATCATGATAAGTCTTACAGTTATCTTATTTATAAAAGCAAACAATCTTTTGATTGTATTGTATTTGCTATTACTTTATGTTAAAATTTAAATTGTTAATTGTGATCAATGTAAGAGTAAGTAATAATTATAATAGTTGTTACAAGTATGTTTATTAATTGCTAGATTTGTAAGAAATATCAAATTATTATTTATTAAAGTCTTATAGTGATGGCAGGTATATTAATAGCAGGTAATTGTAAAACTCTTCAAACATTATCATATTTTGTTGACAGTAATTATATCATAAAATGTAATATTTTCCTTACATATCAATAGTATGTGATGTTGTGTTTGACATAACTCACTAAAAGTGGTTCAAATCCTTTGACAGTGACTTATATGGAGGTCAGAGAAAACGAAAAGTTTTTTTTAATAAAAAATGTTTTTAAAAATTACTTCTTTGAGAAATATTCGAGAATATAAATCAATTTCATGACAAACACAGGAATAAACGATTACAACAGTAACTGTGATGTGAAAAATTTTGTGTCAAAATCCAGAATTGAAAAAAATTAATGATTAATCGTTCGTTAGATTCAGATTTAAAATTGATTTATTCTATGTTTTGTCCGGAAATATAACCCAACATAACGACTATATTAATGATAGTCGGTAAAAATGTCCTTGCTATATTACTATAATAAGCATTAATATAATATGCCTAAAGTGTTGCTCACAATAATTGCCGGTATAATTATTATCAAAAATACTGCCCATTATTCTCAACTGTCACTCAAAATCCAATGAATAGTAAATGATATCAAATATCATAATCAATATATTCTGTAATTCATTTAATTGTTTCAAAAAATGACAAATTCATTAAAAATTAATATTCAATAATAATAAGAGGAGATAACATGTAAAATATATGAATTAATAATAAGAGTCTCGCTTTAATTTATGAAATTATTAGCACTAAAAAGTCTGCACCAAAATATGTCTCCGGCTCTCGGTTTGTGTCCATTATATGTAACGATAGTCTGTGTCTGATATTTATGATTGAATAAAGTATTATAATTTAATTTCGATACTAAAAATGGATTTTTAATATTATACTGTATTTTATGATCCGTTGAAATGGGTTTACATTGAAATGCATTAAAATTCAGTACATTTGACGGAAAGAGAAGAAAAGGGAATAAAACATATTTTTTATGCGAAACATCATTACATCGGAAAGATGTCAGAGTTGTTAAGAAAAATGCAAATTATAAAAAGTCTAATGTAAAGGAAAATATTGCATACAATGGCTTTGAATAACTTATTGATGGCTTGGGATGAGAGGGAAACACCATTTGGATGCAAACGTATGTGAGGGCAAGGGTTTGCATAGAGAAAGTATTGTGAATGGGATTCAGTCAGTGATGTTATACTAATGTTATGGCATTTGATTTAATGATATATCGGGCGACGACTGAAAGCCATTTATCAATACCAGAGCCAAGTCTGGAGCTATGGCTCAGTTCCGGTCTATTTAGTGTAATAGCCGTCGGAAATAAGTGTGACTTTCGTTCCCATAATTCGTGGCATAAAAATCACAAATAAATATGTGTTTGCCTTCAATAATAGCATTCGGACACAAACTTCAATCATATTTATGTGATTAATATACAAATCAATAACTAATATACAGATCCATATTTACAATCAATTCTGCAATCTTTCAGCAAAAGTAAATATTATCACATCTTTACTTACAATTAGACATCAAATATCAATATATTCATTATTGTATAATAATATAACATAAGTTATTTATCATAAATGTTACACATACATGATAGTATACTAAATCTACATGCTAACATGCTAAAATGCTAAAATGTAACATGCTAACTGGATAAGTTATACGACTTTATATATTATAATATATAACAAACCTAACCTACAGCAATAGTAATGTAGAATTATTGCATTAAAATTTTAACACACTTTGGAGTCAATACTTTTAATACATTTTCATTAAAATAATTATATAAATTACATTTGGGAGCAAATATTCATTAAAATTATTACTTCAAAAACTCATTGAAAAAAATAGTAGGCTTTAAAAGTAATGATTAATAATAGTGTTTGGACTGCAAAATAGGAGTATAAATAGGGTATAAAAATAGCAAATAATGGCAATAATAATGAACTGTTTTATAAAGTAATCAAAAAGAAAAGAAAAAATGAGTGGAAATTAAGGAAAAGTGACGATTCCTTCACTATATGTCAAGTCTGAGGATTATATTTGTCAACAAAAATAATATTTTGCGATCGTTTTAATCTTTTTAGTTATGAGTCCAATATTTCATACATATAACTCTTCACATCTCTCTCTCTCTCTCTCTCTCTCTCTCTCTCCATACCAGTGCTCAAACTGTTAATAGTGGCGATCGGTGTTACTGTTAATACNCTCTCTCTCTCTCTCTCTCTCCCTCTCTCTCTCTCCCATCTCTTTCATAACTAACAGTATATATTGTCATCAAAATCATAGTTATCTATAATAGTTGGACATAAGAGTTGGGCCATGAGTTTGATGTCTAGTTTTGTGCGCTATTTTTCTAACAGCTTTGAGTAAATGAAAACACGTTCAGCCGTTCAGTCCATTGTATTGAGACAATGGTATCGATTGACTCAAATTCACGCTTCCATCACGTCTTGAAATACCAAAATAATTGTTAACATTTGAGACCCAAACCATTAATAGCGCTATTTTTGATGGCTAGACATCAATAGAGAGGCGATCGCACGCTATTGCTATCCATTGCCTACCAGTGCTCTAACAGTGGCCGACAAACACTGGTATGAATGGCCACACAAACCATTACTATTACTGTTAATTCTGTATTACAGGCAACAAAACTCTTTCAATTGATCGCACAGTTATATAACCGGAGAAGTAATCATAATTTCGATATTATATATAAGAGTATTAACAGTAACACCGATCGCCACTATTAACAGTTTGAGCACTGGTATGGGGCACAGGCAGGCACTGGCAGTCTATGCCAGGCTATGGCAGGCCATACATGATATATGAATAGATATTAACGCCATTCCGTGTGAAGATCGCGTGATTGGGAGCCAATAGTTTGCCGTTTATTCCCTATAAAACTGGAAACTCTTGTATCGAATATTGTATATATTTTTTTGCTGTTTTTTCTCTCCTTTACTATTAATAAAAGGTATTCTGTTTTGAAACCAATATATCTATAAATCATTTTCTCTTTTATCAATAACTTATGAAACGCTACTTCACTTCAAAAACTCAATTCAATCCATCACTCGCTTTAAGAGCGAGAAATTAATTGAAAACCAAACACTAAAACACACATTGAATGCAATAAAACCATTTGATACACATATTGAGTGATAAAAATCAATTTTAAATTAAAAAATACTTTTCATTTTAAGTCAAGACATTAACAGCAAAAATAGTAAGAAATATAAACAAATTTTTAAAGAGATTTACAAAGAGTTGGGGAAACGGGAGGCGAGAGAACAGATGCCATAAAAAGGTGGTCACAAATGGTATGGCTATTAGAAAACACATGAGCGCCGGGTTTGGGGGACCCTCTGGTTGGCGGCGGGTTTGCTGTCGTAGAGGCGCTCCTTCTGTAGTGCAATGCGTTGAGAGGTCTCGTGTGCCTCGTATTTCATGGCCCGCGAGTAACCGGTCCTCACTTTCAGTATCTCTCCGATCCGAAGGTTGGCCACCGATTTGGATGAGTTGGCCGTCCAGACAGAGATGCGGTCCTCTTTGGCCCTCACGTTGACGACAGCGCCGCAGATCTCTTCGCCGAACTCATTGAATCCCTCGCCAATCAAACACAGCAACACTTCCAGCCATATGTCGTCGAGACGGGCGTCCATTTGGCGATTGGGTCCCTTCGGGAACTCGAGACTCCATTTGCCGCCATTGATGTTATGGCAGTCCTCCCACATCGGCTCCACTCCCGCTTTGAACAGACAGTAATCGCTCGGCGCTACTGATGGACACCCATTCGGGCCAACAATCAGACAGTCAGACAACGCCGTCAATGGATCAGTCATCACAAGTCATACCTAATTGTTGGACACAAACGATGTGATGATATAACGACCAAAAGTCTTCGATAGTGTTGAGCGGTTCGCAGACCCGCTGTAAGGCCTGACGCCACACCACTTTCACGCCCGGATCCGCTCTCCAGAACCACAGCTGCCATCTGTATGTCAACGGATGGCGACTATTGACCGCCGGTTGGCGTACGAGTCGATGATTGACGGGTCCGTCCGCCGGGCCGTCCATTGGGCCCTCTATTGGGCCGTCCATTGCGGCCGCAGTGATGGTCGACGCCATTGTGGCCTCAGTCTCACCACAACTCACGCCATCACAGCTCACGTCCTCGTCATCCGAGTCCTCCTTCTTGTGCCGGTCGTCGCACTCGTCGACGGCTGACTCGCGGCCGCACTCTTCCCGATGACAGTCATCGGCGGTGTTGTCGTTGTTGTTGTTGTGGTCAGTGTTGTTGTCGTCTATATTGAGTGCATTGAGGGCCGAATCGATGGCCAACTGATCGGTCGGTGGCGTCGAAGACAGTGTGGCGTTGAGTGGCATTGAGTCCATTGTCCGTCACTTCAGTCATGCAATCAAACCGTAAGTGAAGTGTAAAACAATTCAATGACACAAACATTCCATTCATTCACACAAACAATGCATTCAAACCAATACATCGCGCGACTCAACCCTATCCGTCATAACCACCCGAATAGACCCCCAAAGCCCGGACCCGGGATTCTCGGTATTCCCCGAAACCATTGGATCGGCTATTAATGAGTCATTAGTTGTGATGTAATTATTGCGCGAATAAGTGATGTGTTTGACACTTAGACGCCTAATGAGTCATTTGATGTGTGCCTCTAATTGTGGGCCAATGGGTGAGCGATGACTCATAAGTGTGGACCTCTAGTCAGTGCTTATGAACAGACGTGAGTCCGCACAACACACTCACAGTAAGCGTAGGATTGAGTGACTGTTTGTCAGTTGACTCCAAACACTGCAAGCGTTATGACGTTCTTGTATTGACTGATCCGTCGGGTCTGCGGTGTTATCACCGATGGATCAGTCAGTGATGTGTTCGCATGGCTTTGGAGTCAACCAATGTCTCAATGATTACAACTGTTTATCACTCGATAACTATGAGAGACATTGTTTTGAACACAAAATACATTTCAATTCATAACTATTTTATTGCTTAATATATTTGTGATAATCAGTGATCGAGTGGTCACTGACTGACCACTGAATGACAGCTATTGTGTCCACACATGCGTTGCGATCGATATTAACGGCTAATGTATCGCAAGTTTGCATTCATTTCCATAACTATAGCCACAAATGAATGACAAATATAGACATGTTTTATGACATTTGGCATCAAATCAATGATTGACTACTCATTAGAGATCGCATTCATAGGGAAAGCACTTATAGTTTGGCTCAAAATAAATACAATTTAACATTAATTGCGAATAATTTATACTTTTTTTGGTACCGATTATTGAATGGGAATTAACGGTAAATCTCGGGACAGAAAGTGAGTGAATATATGGACTAAACACTAAATGATGGCCACATTTGAGGCAAATGTAAGACTTTTTGACTGTTTATGAGACAAACAGTGCTGTGATTGAAGTAATGCAACGATAATAACGATAATAAATGTAAAGTTTATTATATATTTGTATGCATTTGGATGTGATTTAAGCGATAGTTGAGTACAAATTGTGTTTAAAAACATCTCAATTGTGTTGCCATTGAATGCCATTCAGACAATACATTCACTCATAAAATGTTAAATAATATGACATTTATTTTATGGCTAAATATATAAATAAAATCCAAGACTTGTTTTATTGTAAAATAAAAGTGTTTTTTGTCTAAATCTTCATATATTTACGATTATTATTATTATAAGGTTTTTATGGACAATAAATTAATGTCTGTTTATATGCTATTTATTTAACAGTATATTTAAATCTTACGATTTTTATAATTTATTAATTTTGATGAAAATGTTTATTAAATCAGTCATTAAAGTGGTGTTCAATTGAGTTAATAATAGCCAATATTTGTAACGATTAGTTTGTGATTACATTTGTTAATACATTGATTCAAAACAAGCATTTATTATACATATTGTAATGCATTAAATAAATGAATTTTTATATTATAAATGTAAGCACAGAATATTCTTAGAAAACACAGAATATTCTTACAAAACACGATTATTTGACTTATTTTATAGATTTTTTATAACCATTTCAAGAGAGAAACAAAAATATTATGGAAAAACCAAATCTCCAGACAATTTGTGACTTTAGTTTTCAAATAAGTATTTTTTATATGAATTTTTTCGATTCAAATAATAATATATTAGAAGAGAAGTGAATATTGTGTCTAAGAATTCAACGAAAGAAATATCTTTACATTTCTTATAAATTTGATGTAAAAATTGAATCCTTTTTTATTCGCAAATATTTTTCATTTTTGCAGTGAATTTGATTTTTTCATATATTTGATGCTCTTTTGGTGTAATGTTTTAGAAATGTAATACAATTTGACATTCAGTGCAATTGGCTTTTTATGCACACAATATAAAGTATATGCGATCTTATGTTTACCTCACTCTCTGTCCTCTCAAACCTGTGATCTAAACATAACTTTACTTTATTTTTGCTTTCTTTTCCTTCTTTTCCTTTTGGATTCAATTTAAAGTCCTCTCGAAATGTATTTTTGGTCTCAAAAAAATCATACAATCGTTACGTCCTTTTGATTCTTGAAAGTTGTCACACATTTTGGCAATACTTTTGTGTTTTGAGAGAAGAAAAGAGACGAATGTTATATAAAACCAGATCCGAAACCAATTCAATTGCTGTGCTTTTTCGCACTGCACTCACAAAGTCAGCTATCAATGAGATTCCGGTTTAATGGTTCACAATATTTCTCAACATATTTTACAAAATTCTCGATTCCGTGTCTTCTTCTCGATGTCCGACAAGTTCTTTGGTTTTCCACAAACTTATTGTATATATTTTTTGTGTCAAATATTGTCAAAAATTTTTCAATAAAATGACACCAAATTCTTCACATACTCTCACATAATATTTATCTTCAAATGTAAACACGATTTCTTGGATATATTGGAAATGCAATCTCAACACTGAATCTTGAGTTTTATTAACAATATTTATTTCAAAAGTATTAAAAGATTTGTTTGAATATTTTTTTTGTGCAAAATAAACAATTATTTACTGAATTTGATATTAAGCTTAAAATTGGATTTAATTTTACATTTAATAGATATGTTAATGAATTTATATATTTGTGAAGCGAACAAAAACTATTCAATTCAATGGATTCACACAATCCATAATCCAAAGCACAAAAGTGCAGTGTTTTGTCGCTTTGAGCCAAAAATTAGCACAAAATTGTTTTCATTTAGTCTTTCAATTTATTTGAACCATAAATAGTGGCTTTAGTTTTATATATTGGAAAAAATAATGTTTTCTGTTTTATCAAAGAAATTGTCAACAAATTTAATATAAGTTTCATATATTATACGAAAATTTCCAATTTAACACCGAAGAAAAAAATGACAACAAAATTATAATTATTAATATAATTTATGATTCAATAGTCCAATACTTTTAATGTATTCTTCGTATTCTTATAATACTGTATAATGTATTGTAATTTTGAAGTGTTTTTAATTCACGCTAATATTCACTATCATTTAATATTCTTAGCAATTAATTTGAACATGGTACAATCTGTAATTATAAATATTTCACGTTATATAAACTGTATGTAAAATTAAGAAAACGAGAGTATATCTCGACTGTTAGTAATTGTGATTTATTAGCAATACATACGATATAAAAAGTTTTATTCATTAAATGGTGCACTTCTTTCGAAGCAATAGATATCTGTCATAAACTCTGGTTATATCATGAGTTACACGAGTCTCACGTCAAGACTCGTGTAGTGAAATCGTATGCAGTTTTTTGCACAAAAAAACTTTTATTAATGACTTATAAAATCTAATTTCAAAAATGTCTTTCTATTACTTTATACGAGTCAAACATATGAACCAAATATAGTGAACAATAAATGATTGATAATATCTTATGCATCGCTTAATTATTCAACTATTTTTTGGGATTCACTTTTTTTCGTTGACTATTATTTAATGCAATTTCTGTGAAGAAATGTTTGAATTTAAAACATTTGTGAAACTATAAAAAAAGGAGACATAAAAATGTAATTTTATATAATTTGAATTTAAAGTCGACTTTTTTGTGAGTATAATATATTGAAATACGTTTCTCAACAACAATAAAAAATGTTATGTCAAAGCTTTCAACATTATGATAGATTTATGTCGACCCATGTTACTTAAATTACAGACAACTTTCGCTAAAATAACAACAAATAAATACCATATATCATCATATTTTTGCCCAGAATATATCAAATAAATATAGATTATGATAAAAGGGTTCTCAAGAAATATATATAGTTATCATTAGTGTCTAGAATTATATTTCAATAAATGTTTAAATTATTATAGATTTAAATACTATATTATATAATCCCTCATATTATAGTAGAATTAATAAATTATCATACAATGTAATATTATTTTTGATTATTTTATGTCACATATTAGCACATCATTAAAATGTATAACAATTTGCGAAATTATATAATGTCTCACATCGAGAAGCAAATCAATTAAAATATCAATTTAATTCATTAATTGTATTGACTATAATATATTTTGTCAAATCATTGTTTGCAAAACCAACCCTATTATAGACTATAAATATTTAATACAACGTTCAAATTTATATGTATTTCCATCCGATTATTATCAATTAAAATAGCTATGACTTGATTAATAAAACAAAAACTAAATGTTAACATGTTTTTTTCATTAGGGAATAAATAAATAAAAATGTTATATACTTTAAATAAAATTAAAACATAAAGTTAATTAATTGTGAACATAATTACCACATTTAAAATATGCGGTTTCTTAAAGGTTTTATAATTTTCCAATTGATTTATAAATTCTTGAAAGACATTTAATATAACTACTTATGTATTGAGGCTTTAATGTGAATACAATATGTGTTGGGATGAGTCGTGAAAATAACTTCAAGGTTTAAGAGATGGAAATTTTATTTGAAAATATCATATATTTTTTACATATGATTTCGCTGTTTGTGTGAAATCAAGTTCACTATTGAATGATACAAAACATACAATTCTCACATTTGCTACAAAAAATCATTGATTTGTGAGACAATTCTTGATGATTAAAAATCTCAAATTGTGTGATAAAAATGTTTCATTTTATTTCGTTCTTTGTTTAGCAAAAAATACATATATTTTAATTTAATATAAAATTTTAATTAATTGGATATAATGTCGGAATTGTTAGAAAACAACATTAATAACAATAATAATAGCATTTCTTTCTATGAAAGAGTAAAAGTTGTGTTTTTGGGCGAACAAAGTGTCGGCAAAACATCGCTTATAACTCGGTTTATGTACGACTCGTATGAGACCTCATATCAGGCGACTATCGGTATTGACTTCTTGTCAAAAGTGATGTCAACTCCCGACCGGACGATAAGACTTCAGTTGTGGGACACCGCAGGACAGGAACGCTTCAGGAGTTTGATTCCCAGCTATATTAGGGACTCCGGGGTCGCCGTCATTGTGTACGACATCACCAGTTAGTGATCATCTAATGACTGATTATAATTATATCTAATATTATATTAATCTATTGATTAGATTCGCGGACTTTTAATCGCATAGACAATTGGGTGACAGAAGTGAGAGCCCAAAGGGGCGAAGCGGCGCTTATATTGATTGTCGCCAATAAGACTGATCTGAATGACAAACGACAGGTCAGTATTAGTGAAGGCGAGACCAAAGCCCGTGAACTAAATGTACTGTTTGTGGAGACGAGCGCTAAGACGGGAACCAATGTCAAGAAGTTGTTCCGAAAAGTTGTCGACAATTTGCCGAAACAACCAAACGATGAAAGCCTTCGCAAAGAATTTGAGGTCCGTCTCAATGAAACCAATGCTCTGATTATTAATGCCGACAAACAGTGCTCTTATTGTTAGTCTATTTTAGTCTACATTTATTCAAATTTATAAATAATTTGTTATTTTCACGATTTTCTATTCAAAGTATTTTGTAAATTATTTAATAGTATTAAAATTGATTTGTTTTTATACATTAACTGCAAGTGTAATGAGAATTAATGATAGCGTTTGATGTATTACTTATACTATGCGTTAATTTTGTTTTTGTTTCGATGTTTGACTAAAACATTGAGATTTACAGCGAATTCGGACCGAAATTGTTTGTCTCGTTTGATTGATATTCACATTAAATCCATTAATTTGTTGACTCACTTGAGAAGTGGTCCCAAACATTGAAAACATGACAATTGTTTTTAGTTTTGGTGAAATAGTAGTTGATTAGAGACAGAGTGAGAGTCAGTACATGTCATTCACTTAAGACTATAAACAATGGATTCGTGTCTTTCTCTTCTCAGACATCACTTCAATTAAATACGAGAATCGCTTATAATTTCACAATTGTTACAAATATTTCGTATCAAATATGTAATCCCTTTAATACCAATATTTAATTATATTATTTATTTAGAAAATCTATTAATAATTTTCATACCATTTTAAAAATAGTTATAAACCAAATATTGTCTTAATTATTATTATAATTATAATTTAATTTTTTGAACACTATTATAGACTTTGCTTTCAATACATAATATTACATGAGTTTAAATCAATTTTAATGTATAGGGAGTGCCATCTCTACAGATTACAGATAGAGCTAACCTAACAATAAGTATAGAGAATATTCTGTTGTTGCGATGCATTCACTCTTATAAATGACTATATTTTAGTGAAATAAAGCCAACAAAATACAAATATTCAAAGAATTCGTTTTATCTCTTATTTAAGCATCTCTTAGGACACCATATATTGAGAAATCATTGAATTAAATGCTTTAATAATATAACAAAATTACAATCATTTCGATAGAAATCTTATACTTTTGATGCAATCATTGAATATACGGTTTACATGCAATTGCTTTAAATGCTTTTTATATAACCAGTGCTACAGTACTAACAATTTTGTCTATTAAATGATTACATAATATTAAATTAAATACAAGGAATAAGAGATGAGACAAATTTAATTTCGCTCTCTTTTTTCTCTCGGATCTAATGTCTAATATTTGCCTTTCGTTTGTATTGATCTGACTTTAGTTTGCTTTCACTTTCGTTAACTCTAGTGTTGCCACTCATTGTGTCCTACATTACGAGTGCCTTTCGTATAAATATTCATACCATGTATTCATTGATTGTACACTCGATCCGCGATATTATTTAAGTAAATTCTCTTTTAATTAACTGATCATTAATTTTGTCAAAATTAAATTTTAGTTTAATATAAGAATTTCCAGAATTCATCGAAAATTCATTTCTGTGTTTAATTTCCGGGAAAAAATCATAAGTAAAAACCCATTAGAATATTAGTGAATATTGCACTCAATTATGAATTGTATGGCAAATGTGAAGCACATAATGAATTTGTTGTAACCAATCGTTTTTGAGTGAATTATTGCAATCAAATAACAAAAGCGAAGGCAAACAAAAATCAAGAGCCACTCGAGAGATGGACTCAATGGATGTTAAGACACAAAAAATACAGAAAGAAGAAAAGAGGAGAAAGAAATGTAAAAAAGTTAACAATGAATGACTACAAGAAAACATTAATGCAATTCCAGTAACTATTTATTGGCTCTAATGTTAAATATATATAAAAACTAATAGAATAGAGAAAAATTGCTAATGAAATGCATGAGTAGAGGCACTGGTATAGCACTCCTGGCATTAGTTGCATCCCTAACACATCCGCCTCTCTCTCTCTCTCTCTCTCTCTCGCTTTCTCTCTCCTATGAAAATGAAGATATATTTCATAATAATTTAATAATAGCTAACAATTAGATAGACTCAAAACAAATGAAGTCAAACATAAGAGTTAAATATAAGAGTAAACAGAGTATACGAACAATGAGTGAAAGTCAAGTAAAAATAATCTCAGGACTAATCAGCGTTTCGTTTGAATCCATGATTTCAAGTCATTTGTTTCATAGGATCTGAACCAACAGTCGGTCCTATTCTTTGGTTACTCTCATATATCGGGAGAACTTTTAATCAGTAAAACTCTTGAGGGATGAGCACTAAAAAGCCAATTGTGTTCAGACTTAAGACCAAAATAGTAGAACAAAACTAATATTTTATTGAGAGAGAGAGAGAGAAAGCGAGAGAAGAGATAAAAGAAATTAATTAACAATTTAATTACAACAATGTTATTATAAAAGCTTGAAATACAAAGAATACAAACTTGAAATTATATTAGTAATCTCTCTCTCTCTCTCTCTCTCT